GAATTATTAACATATGCACAAGCTCTGCTTCACTCACATGAATAACAATGATGACGATTTAATCAAAATACCATCAATGATTGCATTTCATCCCAAACTACATGCCATGCTTTTCTTCAACTTAGTGAGCCTTAAGTTTAATTGAACTTATTAGGTTCTGCCCTCAGTAACTAGCAGATATACCTATTCTTCCAATCAGATAATGGTATATTCACACGTAGTATTTGTACTCGCTTTTATATTGAGTGCTAGAATTGAGCACTACAGTGGCAATGAGCCCAAGGCAGGTGGATTACTACTGACCAATTTCCACCTGCAACACCAGTTCAGGTAATGTCACTATAATAAAATTCTGCATTTTAGTAAGGTAATTAAAATTGAGACTGTAATTAAAAATTGAGACTATAACGAACACATTGCAGCTTTTGTTCACATTGGGTAGCACCCTGTTTGTGAGAGATGTTTTATTTACTACGTTTTGTTCCACTTGAACAAAATAATAAGCAATTGAACTTTTGTTATGTCTGATTTTCTCTTAAGCTACTTCCCTTTCTCTTGTGCTAATAAATTCTTTCTCGTATTCATCAGTAATGCTGTGCTGTTATGTCTATTATTAAAATAGCATTGACAATAGAAATAGTTTGAAGAACTTTGGTACCACATATGGTTATAAATAACTTTTTAAAACATATATTGTGCCAAAGAGTTAGATTTGCCTGTAGAATTATACTACACTAATGTAAGCTTTATGTACCACAGACAGTACAGACACCTACATGAATAGACACAGATATACTCAACATCATTATTTGTGCTCACTATGTATTCAAATACACATTGTTGTAATAACAACTTATCCTGACTTTCCCCTTTATGGTGAAAGATGTCATTCTGCATAATAATTTGACTACCATCAGTAAAGTCTGTAGCATATTAACTTTAACATGTTCATTAATATAATACAGAAATACAGATAAAACAGAATCTAAAAATACATCAAATCTATCCAAGGACATTGGTTTACATGCTGACTGAAATATGACATACTTTATCACACTTACTTAATCCCAAATTGCTGGTTAACCCTTCTCTTTCTTCCACGCTTGTTGCTTTGCATAAAAGCATCTGTTAAATATATAAATGCAAAAAACAAACAGTAGGCAGGCCAATAACCTTATAGTATTATAATTAGCAGTCCTATAACACGTTGAAAAGTGACCATATAGCTGCAGAAATTGTAAACTGTAGCTTTAGGGACCCTAACCCAGTTGGCAGGCAGGTACGTCTAAGGACACTCTCCACACGAAAAAGCGAGAATACACCTGATGCAGATAAGAATTAAAGTCAGCTATGTTGAAGCTAAACTGGTTCTAACACTGAGATGCTACTGAAGGGCCAGATTATCTGTATCAAGTCTGTTAAATTAAGGTTGCACTAAGCTCTGCATGGGGGTAGATCTGCAGGAGTGGGGTTGGTGACCACTGGTTTAGAGTATCTTTCTCGGACAGTGTACACTTAACAGGCTAGTGATCAACAACGTTAGCGCTTTGTAACATTGCCAATTACATACTGCCATCTAATGGCACATTCCTATAACTACAGTATTAACACTGTTCAGCACAATTCCAGGTCCACCCTTTAAATCTTTTTATTTTGAACAGCTGTGCATGTTTATGCTGTATTATCTGACAAGATGTGGAGAGTAGAAACATAAAATACAATGATCAAAATAAATCCTTAATAATTCTTTATTATGGGGGTGGCACGGTGCTGCATTGTTGGATGATCTTCCTGTGTCATCGTGGGGTTTCCTCTGGGTTCTCCAGTTTTCCCCCACAGTCCAAAAACATGCTGAGGTAAATTGGAATTGCCAGATTGTCTGTGTATGTAAATGATGTGTGTGCCCTGAGGCGGGTCTCCCTATCCGTGGGGATTCCCTACCTTGCGCCTGCTCTTTCCAGGATAGGATCCCTGCAACCTATGAAATTATAAAGAAAAATTGTTTAGCAGATATAAAAGAACATTAGGAGCTCAGGATCCTCTGTATTTTCTTCTTTCCTCTGCTCCTCTTATTTCCTTCCCTTTCTGTCATTACCTCTCATTTCTACCTCTTAGTTTTCCTCTCGTTAGAGTAGATTTATAATAATAATTATAATAATTATAATTTTACCTTTATTGTCCCTCAAGGGGAAATTCTTTTTACGCCTCCATCAACTTGATCTTTGTAGAACAAGCTGTCTGTGAAGGGCAGCCACCTGTTGGGGCTTCCAGGGAGCTGGGGGTTAAGGGCCTTGCTTAAGGACCCGCAGACATACATGTTTATGCATCTCGCATAACATCACGAGGAATAAGTTCGTTCTCAGAATAGTTTTGTCCTTTCACATAAATAGACATGGATGTCTCATGTGAAAGTCTGATCCTCATTAAATATACTGTGCAGAATTATTAAGAAAGTACTATTTCCAGAGATATTTTTTAGCAAAAGTTGGGCAGACTTATAAAGATAAATTCCAAAGTTTTATTTTGCTCCAAATAAATGTATTTAGAGAGAAAATGTTACATTAGACTTTCACAAACAAAAATAAAAGAAAAGCACGTGATTATCAGTGTGCAGAATTATTAGGCAATCAGAAACTACGTAGATTTTTTTCACTTCAACGTCAACAGAAATAATAATACAATTGTCTTTTTCAGTCTATATATAGAATAACAAATTTCACCAAGTTTATTGTCTTCTATAGACACCTTTCTTCTGAATGACCATCATGAGCCTGTTCGCCATTGAACCAGTCAAGTTTTAGCTAGGACCTACTCCCAGACGCTGCTCTGAGAAGTGTACTGCTTGCCATCTTGGTACATCTCATGCTTTAGTCGGGCCCTGTATCTCTCAGTTGGTGTTAAGTCAGGCGATGACGGGGGCCTGGTCATAATTCAGTCACCTTTCTTAGTCAATCTATGGAATACTTTGATGCATGGGAAGGAGCACTGTCTTGCATGTATATTATAACCTTTTTGAAACCTGCTGACTTCTTCCTGTGCTGCTGTTTGGAGAAGATATGTTCTAGAAATTGGCAGTAGATCTTGTGGTTGAGTTTTATACCATCTGGAAGTCTGAAAGATCCAACAAGTTTGTCACTGATAACTGCATCCCACACCATCAGTCCTCCACCCTCCTGTTGGTGCTTGAAGAAGGTGACCATCCATGGGTCCATCCATCTGCTCTCATCTCATCTGTCCACAAAACCTTTATAAAATCATTCTTGACATGTCTGTGTGCATTCTTGACATTTTATCTTGCATGCCTTACTGAGTGGAGGTTATGTTTCAGCCTTTGTGACAGTGTCATGTAACACACTGTACAAAATGCTTCCAGAGATTCCATTCAGATTGCAGTATTTAAAAATGGTGGCATTTGACTCTAAAGAGTTTCTAAAAGTCTCCCCTTTAATTTGACACATAGCTTTAGCAGTTAATTTGTGTCTTCCTGCAACATACTTTTTCTGTCCTCTTTGTCTGCTGGCCACAAAACACTCGATTGCACAGTAATCATATTTTAAAGGTTTAGCAATTTTGATTGTTTTGCATCCCTCTGACTGACACTTTACAGTTTTGTCTGACTGACACTTTACAGTTTTTTTTTTGTTTCTGGTCTCTGCAAGGTCCATTTTTGGCCCATTTTAATATTCATAAAATTTTGCTTAATAATTCTGCACAGGAAAGTATCTATGTTTTCTTGTTTTTCTCCAAACACAAAGTACTCAGGCCAAATACTGAACATGTACTGCCATTTAAACAGTTCATTCTTAATTACAAGTTAATCTGGACTGAAAATATTTGTCGGAAGAGAAGATACAAATATAATTCACACTTGCCTAATAAATCTGCACACAGTGTACTATTAATGGATCAAGGTGACCACGTTTAGCAAAAATAGTGCTAATTTGCACTATTCGGCATAATGTTATTGATTTGACAGCCTGGCATAGACTGATCAGCCCTGATCAGAATAGGCAGCTGCAAGATTGATGAATGGAAATGCAGTTTCGAAAAATTTAAATATAAAGTACACCCATTAAAAAAAAAAAAATCATTTGCCAGGTCAAATGAAGATTTCTGCTGCAATTTCAGACGGCATGGTCAGAATTTGGCATGAACAACGTGAAAGCATGGATCCATCCTGCCATGAATGAAGAATTCAGGTTGCTGCTGGTGGTATAATGATGTGGGGGATATTTTATTGGCACACTTTTGGCCCCTTAGTGCCAACTGAGTATAGTCTACATCCCTTAAGTCCCTTAAGCCATGTCCTGAAGCTCATACAAACTCAGACTGGGTTCTTGAACATGACAATGAGTTCACTGTACTCAAATGGCCTCCAGGGTCACCAGATCTTAATCCAATAGGGCATCTATGGGATATGGTGGAATGGGAGATTCACATCCTGAAGGTGCAGCTGACACATCTGCAGCAACTTCATGCTGCTATCATGTCAACATGAACCAAAGTAATGAGGAATGTTTCAAAGCAACTTGTTGAATCTATGCGATGGATAATTAAAGAATTAAGGCAGTTCTGAAGGCAAAAGGGAGTCCAACGCAGTACGCAAGGCATACCTAGTGAAGTGGCCAGTGGTTGTATAATTCTTCTATTCAGGTTAGAATAACTTAATATTCGGATAAGCAGCGACTTTGTATATTACAAAAATGTCACTAATTCTCTAATTTTGATCACTACTGTACAGCAAAAACAAAAAGTTTCGTATTGTAAATTGCTTTGACAACACATGCTTACTGTACGCATGAGCAAAACAACATTGCCATATACTTTTAAAAATCTACTTGAGAGACGTAATTCAGCCAGAGTCAACCTGCAAGACTTCATTATTACTGTATTATTGCAAGCGAAGGTTTTCTTGAATGCACCAGCAGTCCGCCACAAAATAGATGTCGCGCAAGCATATGGCGTTATATGCTTCTGCGGGACATTTAATACAAGGCTATAAGCACTAACTTTACAAAAAAAGATTTTTATACGTGGGATCAAGATAACTACACTAATTCTAAAACTATTTTGAAATTAAAAAAACGTAGCATATAACATTACGAAATAGAAAAATATTTTTTTCGTTACACCTTCAGGCAGGAACATTAAATCTTTTAGTGGCGGTATATTTAGCGTTATATCAACTCCTCGAACTTAGTCGAGTTCATTAACCCGGGATACCTAATATAGCTACGATAATTTTAAGGTTACTGGTATCTAGCTGTGTGGCTAACGATCGGCAACAAGGAAAACTGGACTATTCGCTATTAACCGTAAACTAGCACTGAGAGAAAAAATCTGACAGGTAACCGAAATATACAAAACTTGTTTCGCATTTTACTGGTTTAAGTAAAAGCAGACATTTTGCAATCAAGACGCAATAGCACCGCACACTTATTAAGCCCAGCAAGAGCGCTCAGGCTGCGGGGCCCTAAAGCCGAATGACGTAAAGGCAGAGCTCCATGGCGGAGAGGCCGCGCGCTCTGTCCCCTTCTCCTACATCTCCTTCTTCTCCTCCCTCACTCGCTCTCTCCTCCCTCGCCAGCGCTGTCAACGAGCCGCCTGATTGGTCGGGGCCTGGAAAGGAGCGAACCGGCACCAAGAATGTGCAGGCCGCAGCGTCTGTTATTTGGAGGGGAAAATACAGCATTTGGGATTAATTTACAACGATAGTGGAGAAAACGTTCCCGCGGCTGCTGGGGGTGACTCGGAGGGGAGAAAAGTTACTCGGCACGGTAAGAATTTGTTGGGGAAATTGGGCTTGCATGACAAAGGCCCAGCTGACTGGCCTTGGGGCCTTGTCAAACAGCTTGAAAAACACCCAGCGTGAAGAAACGGTTTTGGTGTACTTTTTATTGTGCCTTTGCACATATTGCAGTATAATTAATGGATGCAACATCTATTAAATGTATATGGCTGCAGCTAGAAACACGTCTGTTTTGAATTTAGCTTATTTATATCTATTTTATTTTACTCAGGGATGTACAAAATGGCGGAACACAAGACGGCCGTCTGTGACAGCACTCACAGCTAGCTAACTAGCTAGTTCTATTTATGTGCACACCCTATAGTCTCACAGTTTGAATGTCTTTCATAACCATGTCGCTGTATTGATTTGTCTGTCTGGTGTCCTGCACAACTTGTAGAGCATTTAAGTGGTCTATGCTGTATTTTTTATGAATGTTTTTCGATGGTTGTTTTTTTCGTTAAGTCTACAGATAATCTGACAAGGGAAGCAGCAATGTTTAATCAGTCAGCAGCGGCGATGCACGGTTGGGAGGTAATTATTATCAAAGCAAAGATTAAATTGGAAGTAGGCACTATAACATTGTACTCCTTGGAAATTAAATATGTAGGCACTGTAAAATGCCTATTAGGAGATGTCATGTGAAGAATACGCCTAGGCGGGGAAAGTAAATTAGCTAGAGGTTTAGGCGTTTGCTCTTGGATGTTGTGCAGTTATATGCTACAACAACTGATCGTTTTAACCAGGCTAGCCTCGTGACTTAGTTTTTTTCTTTTTCTTAAAAAAAAAGGAAATAAAAGAAACACCTCTACTATTCTCCTATTTGTAATAGTCTTATCAGATAAATCCAGTCTGGTTTGGTCCTGATCTTGCTTGCCACGATAGTACGTATAATTTCAGTTTTATAAACAGGGCATACCATATTAGATGCACGTGAACTTTAGTAGTAACACTTGGAGTAACCTGAGGTTGTAAACATAAGCCGTCGGTAGTAATAAATAAGGCATGTTAATATTTTCCTGCGGTTTAAAGGCGAATTTCTCTGTCAAGATAGAAATCCGTGTTTATGTAAATATTTGTCACCTGTTGGCCTTGGACGTTTGAGCGGAATGATTCATTGTGTTGTCACGTGAATAAAGACTAACTATCTCGTTTAACAGTGTTGCCATTTTTGCGTTCAGTATTATGTTACAGTAAGTGGTGCGCTTTATTCTGAAAATGTGAGGCAAACAAAATTAACAAGTATGGAGTTTTTGATTATTTTGTAACTGTCATTAAAAATAATGTTATGTATTTTATGTGGACTATTGTGCTAATACCAGGAGTGTTTTACTCTTTACTCGCTATCTTGAAAAGCAAGATCTCGACTGAATTTGACTTTCATACTCGTTCATATTCACAGTTTCTTTCTTTATTTTTTTTTATACCTGCTTGTATATGTTTTACGATGCTACTGTATAGTGTATACTAATGTAATTTCTTGTGGGAATATTACTCATTATTTTTTCTCCCCTGCTGATTACCCAGTTTGGTTGATGTTCTTAACTGTTTCTGCAGTGTAATATATAATACAAGCTTGATGAAATTGAAAACTTGAAGGTGTATCTGTTTTCACCTTTTCAAAATAAATGTTATTAACATCGAAAGTAGCTGGTTTCCCAAACAAAGCTTTTTAGTCACAGTGCACCATAGGTAATGCATATGTGAATACTTGTGACTTAGTATATTATTGATATTTTTTGTTACTGCACAGTCAGTGCTAATGCCTGGATTGAAGAAGCATTGGAAAAAATTATTTGTGCCAGGCGAGACAGTCAAAAAGATCAGGACTGCATATGACAAACTCTGACTAACTGTGCAGACAAAGAGGAACAGTGGTTGTTCACCAGAGCTCACTAAAAGGGACAGATGGATACTTAACAGGGTAGTGTAACACCACCAAAGTACAGTTTCAAATATGAGAACACTAATTTGGCACTCTTCTAGGGCAGTCTCATGTTATGAGCTTCTTAATCCTTGTAGGCTAGAACAAAAAATGTATCCAGGGTCAATGTAGAACAGGGTTCTTCAACTCTGGACCTCGATTCCAAATCCAGGCCGTGTTTTCAGTTCTCCCAGGTAGTTGTTTAATAATTACCGATTCTGATTGGTCAGAGGCTTCACACTTGACTGACAGGTAAAGGAAGGTTGGAAAACCAGTAGTGCTCGGACCTCGAGGACCGTGAGTTGAATAACCCTGATGTAGAAAGACATACAACAGTGTAAAGACCACAAAACTTGTACGTCTCAGCAGTAGAAACGAGTAATATGGTCTGATGAATCAAATTTCAGCCTCTTGTTCTACATGTAGATGGGTTTACTCTTGGAGAGAGCCAAAGGATGCCGTAATGTTGTGAAAGTCATTAGGTTGGATGTTTGCTCTGAGTAGTCATACAACCACTGAAGAATACAAAGTCAATTTCTGCGTATTGGTGCACCCCATGGTGCAAACATCAATCCATCAGAATGTTCAAATAAGCAAGTTTAGCTCTGAACACCCGATGAAGCTGAATAGATTCCATGGCCTCCTCAATCACCAGATCTACACATCAGCTAACCTGTGTGGAAAGTTCTGGGGTATTTAAAAAGTTTTCCTACTAATCAATCAATCAAAATAATTTATTAATCCCTAAGGAAATTTTATGGTTACAGTTGCTCCAGAACAGTAAGAAAATAGTCAATAAGTTAAAATACCAACACTAGATAATACTACTTCACCCATGTAAGAAATGGAGGCTTTTTTATTCAAGAATGGTCCAAGATACCTCCACACACTTGAGGATAATGCTAATGCTGTTCAAAATATTGAAGCTGAAAGTGCCCTGCCTATTAAAATTTTTTTGGCATTTGTTTTACATTCATTGCAAGAAAATCCAATATTCATGATTGTGTAGTCCTTTGAGAATTTGTGCGGTGTGCTACAAAATTAAGTTCCTTGTGGGGAGATGGATTTGTCAGGCATATCCAATTCTTCAAAGCTTGCTGCTGCCACAGTAATAAGACTAGGCTTGGGCAGTATTAGTGTTATAAGATATACTGCAATGTTTTGAAATTTTGGCAGTGTTTTTCCATTCTATCTTAAGTAGCCTTGTTCGTTTTTGGTGTGAAACTGGTCAACTCAAGCAACTGTTTGAGGTGATGTAGTTCACGTCTTGTGCTGCTAGAGTCAACATGGAGTCTAGTAGCAGGCAACGATCAGTGTTACAGCAATACTGATACTAGTATTGGTATTGGGTCCAATACCATGCATGAGCATGGTATTGGACCCATACCTATAACTGATACCACGTAATGATGTATGCTTAATGAGCAAAATAAATGGGACAAAATGTCTGCGGTGTGGAAGTACTTCAAAATTAACAACAAAAACCAAAGCGTAGCAGACTGCAAACTGTACTCTGCTTAACTATCTAGGTACAAAAATAAGTTCATACAACGCAAGTAATCTAAAGATCGAAAAACTAATCATAAGAAAGAGCATGACTAAATTTTTTTAGTTTAGTTTGCAACAACTCAATGTGCAGTAAACTGTAGCACAAAGAGAGAAAATGTCAAACAATAACCCTTGTTCAATGAAAGAACAGAAACTCTAATGTAGTATATTGTAGCAGGATTTGCATTGTGGGTTGGGTTGTATTCTAAGTAAAGCTCTTTTATTATTCGCACACTGCTAGAGACAAGTAATAGTAGCACAGATGGAAGCCTTGCCGGTACCCTAGATCAAAGAGATGATCATGCATCAAGTGGTATGTCTCTACAGATACTAAAAAAACAAGAATCGGCACAACCAGCACCCCACCTCTACCTCCCCTGGTGAACAAGCTTTTAACACTGTTTAATGGATTGGTGAATTGGTGTCATTTTTCATGCTTTCATATGAAAATTGCATTAAATTTTTTATTTTTTTTTGCCCAGCCCTAATTGGTATTCTTGAGAGTACCAAGCCTTGGCTGCATGTACATGGTTATTTTTAAAAGTGTTTCCTCCTCTGTTAGCAAAAAAAAAAATCTGTCTATATGAAAATGCTAAAACACGCTGTCAAGAGCATGCCAAACAGGTGGTGATATAACTCTAATCGTAAAGCCATGTTGGCCAATCAGAAGCCATATTACCCGTTCTTGCTAGGCTAAAAGCAGCTAATGTAAACAGGGAACGACGCATGCTCTGACGTCAAAGAAATTCGACAACAGCGCACAGTCTGACATTACTTACAAGCCAAAAACACTGTATTCCCTGTCTACACATTGACACTGAAAACAGATTTTCTGAAAATCTTCACCCTGCATAGGGTTGTACAAAAGCTCAATTTTCATTGACGTAAAATGCTTCTTCCATGTGGACGAAAGGCCAAAGCGAATAGAGAAAGCTACGTTTTTAAAAATACCCGTGCAAGTGTGGGCAAGGCTTCAGAAAGCAAGCATTGGTATGAGTATATTCACCTATAGGAACCTACAGATACATTGGCACATTATCGAACAAATAAGGCAGAAGACTGTATCGTTAAAATAATTCAAGTTCAAAAACATTAGAGGGTAACAGGTTTTTCCCTGGTAGAGAATCTGTAACGGTTGATCTTGTATGCGCCATAAATAAATGAATGCCAAACTTTAACAAAACAAAATGACTATAAGTACTGTAACTATTTGTTTAAGGGAAAGGAAAAAGGACTGAGCAGTACAAAGTAAAAGAGTGAAATAGCAAGTGGAAATGGCTGGGGGAGAATAATCTATAGATAGAGGTCTCGTTACATTGATAGTCAGTCACTTCTGCATTCCTTCACTGCTTATACATCAAGCTGAACAGCAGTTAGTTAATTTTTAAGTGCAGTTGTCTAGCATTCTATTTTACCAGTTTGCATTTGTGGATAAAACACATAGAATAATGAGACTTCATAATCAGAATGAGAATCATAATGAGAATTCATAATCCTAATAATAGCATCCGAGCAAATATTCACCATGGGGAACGTGGTCTCCACACAGCACTCTAAAGCCAGATGAAGTGCACAAAGTGCTTGTTAAACTAAATGTACTCATTCGTTTGATTTCTGTTCAAATTGTTCAAAATAATTTTTGTGTGTTTATTGTAATTGTAGCCATTCATTTCAGTTTAATTCAATTAAAATATTTTTGCTAAATGCCTGTACCTTTCATTTAGATTCTGTTTAAATTTGATTGTTTTGTTAAATACTTGTACAAGAACAATTGTAATAGTATAAGTTTAAAGTATCATTCAGTAAATTAGTAATGATTTCAAGCAATTATTCTACTCGGAAACAACCTCCCTCCTCCTATTGTGTGCCATGGTGTAATGTCTGGAAGTTATGACAGTATGAAAAAGAGACAATACTTAGAAGATGAGGACCTAAATTAACAACACTACTGAGCATTTTTTGGTTAAATGGCCAGAGAACTGTAGTAAATGAATAAAATGCGTAACGAAAAACAAATTAAAGCAGAAAGTTTTCTTCAAATACTCTAGGCAATTTGACAAAACATCTTACATTCTTATATTCAAACCTTAAACATAGGAACAAAATATTTCTACACCTCTCTAAATTTGAGGCATAAGATGTGCAAGATGTTCAAGAACAGCCATTGACGTTTTCCATTTATTCCAGGGGTGTATTTCTTACTTCAACACAGACCTGTCATTGATAAAAGTAGCAGCTAAACACAAAGAAAATAAAATTCTTCTCCCTTAGGTTTCTTTTCTCCTTGATGGAAGAGAAAAACCCATACTCTTTGATCCTGGTTTGTTTGAGAAAATTACATCAAATGTGAAGGTTAGTGCATTATGGAATTTCATTTTATGCCCAATTTGTACTATGCATGACTATGATGAAAATTTTGTAATGCCTTAAAGGAAATTACACTTTCCTTAATTATGTATTGTTTTCCATTAAACACACAATTAGTCAGCGTTGTATCATTATTTCAAGTAAATTAATATTTTCATTTTAATGCGTAGCCAGAATGATTTTGCTGTTAGTCATGATTTGACATAGTTTGCCATTATTCTTTTTTCCCCTTTTTCTGAAGATTTTTGAAAATAATACATAATGGACCAAGGTGGAGGCGTCTTGGAGTTTCAGTTGCAAGATGCAAAAATGCCTCACACAATGATAATGCAGGACTTCGGTATGTAGATCAGGCAAAATCCATTCCTAAATTTTCGTAGAAGTTGTGAATTTAATCTAACGTAAAACACTGACTGTTAAACTGGTTGGAATGTTGTGCTGCTGTGGCATTCCGATTTATTTTTCAAATGTTCAAAAAAATGGTTTGACTGGGGATTTGGCCCATATTTAAATATCTTATGCAAATGTTTTATGTTAATCTGTATACTTTTGTTGTCATTTGTGAGTGATGTCATCCAGCAAATTTTTGTTACTTCATAAGTAACGTTAGCTTTTTGAAATTTTAGTGGCTGGCATGGGGGGTATGGCACACATCGATGGTGACCACATCGTGGTGTCAGTCCCGGAGGCAGTGCTGGTGTCGGATGTGGTCACAAGCGAGGACATCACACTAGAAGATGATCTGGAGGAAGAGGTGGTTGAGGAACCAGACATCTCCTCCGACGAAATGGTGAATGCTGATGGTATGGTTGTGTCAGAGTCTGCTCTTGGTGCTGAAGTGGCCATCGAAGAGCACCTGGACTCTGATCACCATGTAATCACTGCTGACCTCATCGAAGAGTCTGTTAATGTCCCAGATCAAGTCTTTGAAATGGTGTCAGAAGAGGTGATGGTTTCCAACTGTGACTTGGAAACAGTCGTGCAGACTCATCAGGGTATACCAGCTTCTACAGTCAACCTTAAGGCAGAAGATGATGATGAAAAAAGACCCTCTGAGGACTACCTAATGATCTCCTGTGAGTTTATCGGTACCCAGTCATTCAATACTTTTTTTTTCTCAATTTTTGAGTGTTTTCTCCTTTTATTGGACTTCTGATTAAGAAGCTAGATTGATTTATTGTGCATGTGCGATATAATATTGATGTGATATCGACCAGCCCTACAACAAAGTATTTAGTGGTATCCATAAGTAGGATCTATATGCTTGATGTATTTGGTGTGAAATTCCATTAGCATATTTCAGATTTATGTAAATGCAAAGCATAGAAACTGCACATGGAAACCTTTTTATACTTAGTTTTGGTACATGTTGCTGATTTTAGAATATAAATTTTTCCTTCCCCCTACTTGTAAATAACTCTGAGTTGTTACATTTCCACATTAAACTGATAATGCTTGTGATGGTATGGAAGACCATGTTGGTTTTTGTTTCCACAGTGGACGAAGTTGGGGAGAAACTTGACATAGGGAATACTCCTCTGAAGATAAGTACAGAGGAGACTGATGAGGGCTCCAAAGGAGATGGCTATGGCTCTGAGGTCATTAAGGTGTACATCTTCAAAGCAGAAGCTGACGATGATGTGGATATAGGTAAAAAAAACGTTACTTTATGTTTTATAAATGTGCTTTTCTCTGTTTTAATGTTCCATGCTCTCAGTTCTGGTGCACTTTTTCCTCAAAGCACTTTCCTGAGATAAAGATTAAAGTATTCTCTCATTGTTCTGCAAGATCAAAAGTGAAATCTCACGTGCGTGAGTTCTATTCATGTTAAGTACCAAGAGATGCCTACTTATCAAAAAAGGAAACCATAGATTTTTAGATTTACAATTGATTTGCTTTTTTAAAGCTTTTTTTCATTACTAAGAGAGATTCCTAATCCTCTTCGTGTGATTTGTGTAACCCTTTCTGTTGAGGAACCAAGTTGTTCCCCATAGTCCTGCCCTGGTCAAAACTTTAATTTTAAAAGCCCCAAAGACAAGAACCATAACCACTTGTGGTATTGTCTGCTGTCACTCCAGGTGGGACAGAGGTTGTAACAGAGAGTGACTTTCCTAATGGCCATGCTGGTCTGGAGCAGGGAGGGGTTGGGAGGCCTCAAAGAGAAAAGATGGTCTACATGGCCGTAAGAGACACTTCCCAGGGAGATGAGGAGCTGAGTGAGTGCTGTTTACATATTTGCTGAATTATGAGAACTATAAATGTTAACAAAAAAAAATTGATTATTTTTCTTGAAATTAAACATGCCTGAAGCATGAATTTGTGAGTTTCTCCTGCAATTTATTCCATAAGTAATTGCAGACCAATTGAATATTTTGTCTTGTAAATGCATTTCAATTTTATATGATTAATTGAGATTAACATAAATAACTTGTTAAACCAGTCAATGTTTCCGCTTAGTATGTTATATATCAGAACACATTTTAAGTAATGGTGTAAGTTTTTGTCAAAAATAAAAGTATATGGCTGTAGCCCAGTATGTACAGTGAAGACCAAGTGGCAGCTTACATATAAAAGTACTTGGTAATGCAACCAGTAAACAGATTAGCTAGAAAATAGGAAATAAGGCTAATGGTAATTATTTAATTCATTTAAATTATGTACTAATAGTATCAAAATCTTAGTTACACATGAGAATAGTGCATGAGTTGTGATAATGCATGAATTAATTACAGTTTGTCACTCAAAATGAAATATTAAAAACAGTAATACTAATTTAACATTTGAATGAGAATTTCGTATCATTATGGTTTAGATTTAACATTGTACAGGAAGGAAAGTAAGCACTAGATCTGAAAAACTGAAGGGCTCGAACTGTTGGAATTTTCAAATATATTTTAAGCAGTATTACAGCTTCATCATGACCTCGCCCCCCCCCCCCCCCCCCCCCCCCCCCCACCCCCCCAGTCTTGGAATTAAACCTGAGCATACATTTATCTTTATACAGATTCTGCAGAGATTACTGATGAGGTATACATGGAAGTAATTGTGGGGGAAGAGGATGCCCCTGTTATCAAAGAGGCACTGGAAGAACCACCTGTCAACAAGACGTTCGTCCCTGTGGCATGGGCTGCCGCCTATGGTAAACTGAGTTAATCTCCTCGGCTTCTTCAGCCAGCAACACATCAGGTGTTTAATGGTGGTGAAGTGGAGAAACCAGAGTCCTTTATTTTCCATTATGGCAGGGCATTAATTAATTAATTAATTAATCTTTTTTTTTTCATATCCGTCGATAAAAATACAATTTATTATTTGTTTACTTCAAGGCTTCATGTTTGCTTAAAAATACCTTAGGATTCCCTTAAACAGGTTGAAAACGCAAATAAAGTAATTCTTCAGATTGCAAGTGGACACCCTAATTGCTGGTATTTATGACCGCAAGTCAAGTACTCGTATTCCGTACAGTAGTGATCAAAATTATAGTGAGACATTGTAATATGCAGAGTCACCGGTTATCCACATTAAAAGTCATTCTAACATGAATATATGTATTTTAATGATATTTCATCAGTGTCACATCACAAAATACATGGTTTAAACAAGAAATCTGAAGAAGGCATGCATTCAAAATTAGTGATTTTTTTTATACCTGACAGTTTTTGGATCTAGTCTGAAATATTAGATTAGATACCAATCTGTGTTGGCGACATTGCTAGGCATTTTGCAAGATAGTGAACCTCTCCAAGGTGCTAAAACCCTGTGACGTCAGGTTGTTCAGCTTATAGGATGACCCTCTTGGCCACTGGAATAGTCCTTAGAAGTTATTCATTTGTCAAATATTTAAGTTGTACAATAAAACAAAGTCATTTAAGTCCCAAAAAAAGCTGGTTGCCCACATATGATTAAAACACAAGTGAACAGGATGATTGTGAAGGATCTGTTCAACAGCTGGAATGGCTCGCCGAATTAGTTCTGGGCAGGGCAAGAACTTGTCTTGATGGGGTCTCGCATCTGGGACAATATGGACTGAGAGCCCACTCTGCGGTGACCAAGCCCCTCATCAGCAAGAAGACTGAGAAGGCTTGACTAGCCCTTTGCTGAGGAGCATGTTGTGCGGACAGCGGAGAACTGGTCCACAGTTAATTTCAGTGATGAAAGCAAGTTTGATTTAGTTGGTTCAGATGGGATACATTATTTGTGGCGTTGGATTGTGTGAACAAGTCAGAAAAGTTGGGAGGGCTATGAGTCATTGTATGAGGTATGTTCTCTGCTGCAGGAGTCAGGCCTCTCATATGGCTACATTGTAAGGTGAATGCTAAAGAACATCAGAACCTCCTTCAGCAACATGTGGTTCTTGCCCAACTCACCCAGTCAGCCAGTCATTTTTATATGATAACGCCCATACCCCACTGCAAAACAGGTGAAGCAATTCCTCAAAGCTGAGAACATGAAGGTGATGATATGGCCAGCCCAGCGTCCTGATCTGAACCCTATCAAGAAGCTATGGAAGGTAATTGGTGACAAAATTTTAGCAAACAAACCCACTACAGTTACCAAACTGTGGAAGAAACTGGAATACGAAAATAAAGTCAGAGCAGTGTGAGAAATTGGTTATGCCTTGGGGGTGCTGATGTGGCAGTCATTGAAAGCAAACTTCCTAATAATTTCTGAAAGTTGTAACCATCAAAAAAAGTTGACAATTCATTTGTCGACTTCTACAAAACATTTTGACTGTTCTCTAATTTTGGTCGTACATGCCTTCTTCAAATTTCTTGTTTAAACCATTTATTTTGTGATGTGGCATATATTTCACTGATGAAATATTATTCAGACGCATGCCTTCTATTCATGTTAGAATAACTTTGAATTCAGACTGTGACGAAAACGTCTGTCTCTAATTTCGATTGTCACTGTATGGTGTACTGGATGGCAATGCAGCAGGTGGTGAAATACTTTTTGCAGAATTTCCAGTTATAGTTGGCATGAGTTTTCGGTGGTTTTCAATACACAGAACCAGTCTGTTAGGTCTCAGACTTTAGCCAGTAAGTATGTACCATAAGTACACACCAGCCAATTGAACTATCAAGCAATATTCTTTATCAACATATTATCGAAGTTTCTCCTTTAAATTTTATATAACGATAAGTAGAGATCTTTTGTCACCCAGCCCTGTTTTCTATGGATACTTGGTGCCATGAACAGGTTTATACATGTTGGAATTTTGGCTCATGGGAAATGTATGATAATTGAAATGTATGAGAATTATTATTAACCTTCAATGCTTTTCTCAGTCTAATTGTTTTGTTCTAAACTACTATGATATAAATTTTCGTTACCTTTCTAAAAATCCCTGTACTTGCTTCATAGGTAACAGTTTGGAACCAAGGCTGGAGAACAAAAACAGACCAGCTACTCAGTACCTTCAAATCTGTGACAGCCTTAGCACTGGCAGGGCTCTCAAGCAAAGGACCAAAAAGAAAAAGAAAGGAGAGACTCGCCATTGTCAGACTGGTATGTGATTTTAGTTTCATAGTATTTCGCTTATGGTGCCTCTTAATGTCCTCATTAAATCATCTCATTATTGTCATCATCTTGCATATGGCTTGTTTTTGACCCACTTCCCCATAGATTTCTGAATCTATTCTTCTTTTATACCCTTCCCTCTATTTGTAAATTTAGCTGTAATCATTGGCCCAGATGGACAGCCTTTGACGGTCTACCCATGTCATATTTGTGGGAAGAAGTTCAAATCACGAGGCTTCCTGAAGCGCCACATGAAAAACCATCCTGACCATATGTTCAAGAAGAAATACCAGTGCACAGACTGTGACTTTACCACCAACAAGAAGGTGAGTTTCCATAACCACCTGGAGAGCCACAAACTAATCATCAAGAGTGAGAAGGTCCCAGAGTTCTCAGAGTACACACGGCGCTACTGTGAGGCTAGCCCTCTCAGTTCGAACAAGCTCATATTGCGAGACCGGGAGCCCAAGCTCCACAAATGCAAGTACTGTGACTACGAGACGGCTGAACAGGGCCTATTAAACCGGCACTTGTTGGCCGTACATAGCAAAACCTTTGCCCATGTGTGTGTGGAGTGCGGCAAAGGCTTTCGACATCCGTCTGAGCTGAAGAAACACATGCGGACACACACAGGTGAGAAGCCGTATCAGTGCCAGCATTGTGAGTTTCGCTGTGCTGATCAGTCAAACTTAAAAACTCATATCAAGAGCAAGCATGGAAGTGACCTGCCATTCAAGTGTGGCCACTGCTCCCAGGCCTTTGCTGATGACAAGGAGCTGCGGAAGCATACAGAGATCTTTCAGGGACACAAGACGCATCAATGTCCGCACTGTGACCACAAGAGCACAAACTCCAGTGACCTTAAGAGGCACATCATCTCTGTTCACACTAAGGACTTCCCACACAAGTGCGATGTCTGTGAAAAGGGCTTCCACAGGCCTTCTGAGCTCAAGAAGCACGCAGAGACACACAAGGGCAGCAGGGTGCACCAGTGCCGACACTGTGACTTCAAGATCTCTGACCCCTTCACACTTAGCCGGCACATCTTATCGGTCCATACCAAGGACCTGCCGTTCAAGTGTAAGCGCTGCAAGCGAGGCTTCCGTCACCAAAACGAACTGAAGAAGCACATGAAAACGCACAGTGGCCGAAAGGTGTACCAGTGCCAGTATTGCGAATATAACACTACAGATGCCTCAGGTTTTAAACGTCACGTCATATCCATCCACACCAAAGACTATCCCCACCGGTGTGATTACTGCAAGAAGGGTTTCCGCAGACCCTCGGAAAAAAAACAGCATATTATGAGGCATCACAAAGAAGTGTTGATGTAATGTTAATCACTCCCCCCAATCACTGTGTAAAAAGCCCTTTTCACAATATAGTAGAGACGTATTTATATAAGAACTATACAGAACTGTTGTACTTTTTATTGATAATGCTCACCATACATTTGCAAATGGTAAAGACAAAGAAACGGGTTATAAATTATGGTGAGGGGTTACGTTATGATAATGTCTTCACTTTCGTTTGCATCATTTTGCTCTAAAAATGTCATTTGTCAAATTTCAAGGTTTTTTTTTTTTCCTTTAACAGCTTTTCTGTTCAAATAATACACCATGTAAGTGTAATATGTCTACATTGGAGTTCTGCTATAAATCTACTAAATCAGCGTCTGTCACATCTTCATTGTTTAAGGGTGCATTTGTTATCCCATCCTCAAGACCCAATCAACGACTTATGTTGATACATTAGCATTTGCAAGTTTATTTTTCTTTTTTTTTGGGGGGGGACAAACAGATTAATGGAGAAAACCACCCTAATATATTAACTGCTGTCCAAAAATGTTCCTCTGGGGTGATAGAGATGATTGACACAGCTGGAGTAGGTTGCTCAAGGGTCAATAGATCCTGATAGCAATATTGCACTTGATAGATGACACTAGCAATTAAATTCACTTACAAAATGTCTTTATAAGCTTGTATTTTTGCACATATTACCCATAATTTTTTTTATGTCAGGAGCACATGCATTTTCACACCTTCAATTTTTCTTGCAGGTTCTGTAATGTGTTCATGCACTGTTTTATATATGCCATAAATACTTTATTTCCAGTTGTTATAATCTGTTATACGTTCTACTTCTGATCATTGCAGTTTGTGATTATGTGTCAAAATAATGCAAAATTATTTTCAAATTCAATGATCATTATTTCCAGCTAATGAACCCATTGACAGTTACCAAGTGGGTAGGTTTTCATTTTCATTGTAATATTTGCAATTGATATTTTCTCTGGTGAAGCTAGCTGTATGATGAGAAGTGTTATTTTCAGTGTCGGTGAGTTTTTGACTCCCACTTTACCCTCAGGGTTTTGGCATCATGAATATTCAAATGTTTAGTCCACTTTGATGTACAGTACTACACAATACTGCTCGCCTGAGCATTCTGCCGACACCTGTGACGTGTGCTGTTATTGTCAATGCCCTTGTAGTATAGTACTACTGCTTTCATTGATCATTTCTGTAATGTTCCCACTCTACCCCTCACCTTAGAGTTGTGATATGTGAGGAAAAGGCCTCAAATACTCCTGATGTTAGGTCTGTGACCCACCTCCAATACTATTTACCGGACAAATCAGCTTGTCTTCTTGACTGAACCCTAAATTGCTACAAAAACACAGCGTTGAATATCTTAGTAGCACTGAGTGGTGAAATCGGTGTATTTACATATTTGCTCATTCAGATTTTTATATTTTTATTTTTTTTTAACATTTAAATGTTTTGCAATAAACTGCATGTGTACCCTACATTACAATCTCATTTTATTTAATATAAATTCAATATAAACAATGTTTTCTTTCCTGTATTGTGCAAATACATTTGGTTGATTTAATTGTGCAGTGGAAGAGGAAAATATGGGATTGAGGTTGTTCTCGGGAGTTTTGACTACTGTTGGAAATTAAGTTGTCATGACAATATCCCTTAGGCAGCTGTATGGAAATTGGAAAATGTGTTTTTTTTTCAAGTAGCTAGCTCCGGTGTTTGACCACTGAAAACAGTAGTAGTGATGAATGCCCCCCCCCCCACACACACACTAATGTATTGCTGGTTCATGTTATACATGGGTGGTAAAATCTTTTTTGTGAAAACATAACACATGCAATTTTATATGGTCACATAATTGTCACTGTAGGCATAAGAATAAACCATTTTGTTTTTTAATGCTACAAATAATTTGTGACGCTCATTTTGCATAAATTATCAACATGGAAGGAATACGGTAATATGTATGCTACAGTAATGAAATGGTGTCGTAGCCCAATACTCAGTAACGTCTTTCAAAATGGACGCAGAGACTTCAGCTGGTATCTGTAGCGTGGAGCTGAGTAGGATGCAGCGGTGAAACTTGCTTGTGAAAAGTCTCTGGAACACAGATTGGTTGAGTGAGTATACTAGTGTTTTAGTTTCTACTAAATAAATACTACTAAATAAGGCTCTAAATAAGTAACTTCGTTCTAACAAAATCCATAAAACAGCCTTGTACTATTGTGTAATAATACCTATCATTGCAGGTTCACGGCAGATGAGTGCATATGCTCACGAGAAACTTGTCTTGGCGCAGCAGTTTTTACTTGTATGTAAGTAAAAACAACGTACGTACTTTTATTTCAGATCTAATCAGCTAATGGTTGTCTGAGTGACATATGTTGAGATGGCTGTGGAAGTAGGATGCACTTACGGCGATCTACAGCTATTTGCAAAGATGCTAGAATGTCACCGCCCCATTTTTGAAAGCTCATGGGAAATGGGTGCCCGTGTGCCTCGGGAAGATTCACACACACTGCGGTAAACAGGATTTCTATGCACAGGGCCGGGCATGGTGTCCATATTGTTGCAATTCTGGGTTGTAGGCACATAAATTAAATGTGGCTTGCATATGTTTTTTATCTAGCCGTTTTATATCGGCGACTGGCAATATTTCACCAGAACGTATAGATATTATCACGCATTCCGACGCCATTCGAAAATTGGGTCATATGAAATAATATAATGTGTAAATAATGTTTTAAACACAATTTTAAAGTTTTTTTCCCTCTTTCTCAGATGCCTCCTTCATGGTCTATCATGTTTGAGTGTGCTCATGCCCTTAGTCACAGATGCACACCCCTGTGAAAATGCATCCCATTCAAATACTTCTCAAAACAATAAACTTCAGTTGTAAACGTGAAGATCAATACAGAAACATTAGTTCATGAACGGTTGTGGTTTTCATATGTTTAGTTGTATAGGGAGGTGCCTGGTCGATTTCCATTAATGACAGATGCACTTGAGGGGCAACAATGAGACGACTCCCAAAACAGGAATGGTTTAACAGGTGGAGGCCACTGACATTTTCCCTCCATCTTTTCTGACTGTCTTTTCAATAGTTTTCCATTTGGCTACAGTCAGTCAGTACAGAGGCTGCACAGGTGGTCCAACTCCTCCAAGATGGCGCATCAATGCGTGTCATTGCCAGGTTTGCAAGCTTTGCTGTGTCTCCCAGCACAGTCTCAAGATTCTTTAATTGTCACATACTGTACATAGTTATTCAAAGTACAGCATGGAGTGCAGAAACACAGTCTGCATGTGGAGAAGCATGTCCAGGCCGTAGCCCTCTGAGCCACGCAACACCCCCCAGAGAAAAGATGCATCCCAGTATCAGTAGATGACACCACTGTCTCCCTCCGGTTCCCAGTCATGGGGACAGCAGTCTAAGCATCAGCACCACGGCCCGAAAGCGTCTTAATAGGTTCAAAACTGTGAAACTTCTTGATAACATTACGAACAGTTGAAACAAATATTTTCAAGTTTTTTGGTGAATTACCTTGTTTTTTGATAATAGCAGTTTTAATGTTCTCAGATAGCGCTCTCGTCTTCACCATTGTGAAAAAGAAACTGGAGATGTTCTACATCCTGTACTTAGAGTTGATGGGTGCCAATAATTCTGACCACGCCTGTAGACTGAGTGGGAAACCCATGAATTAATATCATCGTGAGAGTAAAGTCTTCCAGTGTTCCATGACCAGGATAAAAACTGCATTGTTTGCAAAAACAGATCCTTCTCTCCAGTACCTCAGCATAGACCTTCCCAGGGAGGCTGAGGAGTGTGAATCCTCTGAAGTTGGAACACATCCTCTGGTCCTCTTTCTTAAAGATTGAGTCCACCACCCGTCTACCAGTTCAGAGGCACTGTCTCCGATCTGCACGCACTGCTGAAAAGGCAAGTCACGTCAAGGGACCTTGGCGACACCCAATCCTAAACAAGAATAATCACTTTCCTCTTTTCTGATTAAAGAGAACAAATTAGCTTAATTAGCCTGGGGCTTTTGAGGGTGAAGCCCCGAATGAATCCGAATAAGCCTAAGTGATTTGATTAGCTCAGATATTTCAACAGCCTTGCTCTCCGTTTGAGAACCCTTTCACAGATTACTGTTAAGTCGCTGGGCAAACATGGATGATTCTAGCAATGCCCCTGCTTGTAGTTGTTGATTAACTTTTGGTTAGCTTGAGAGAACATCAATTCAAGCTTTCCTGGCCAAATAGCATATTCTAAACAGTTTTGGAATCACTCTAACATTGAATAAAAAGATGCTTTACCTGTTTTCACAACTACTTTGGTACGTCTTTTGAAAAATTCCATCTTACTCTTTTGAAACACAGTTGAGAGTGAAGCCTGATGTCCTGACATTAATCCAGGGCCCCAGAATATTTTGGGTCCAACAGAGATGTGACTGTTCTACCATAGCCGGGGCTCAAACCAGCAACCGACTGATCACAGATAAGCGAACCTAGAGCCGCGCGCCACCACCTACACAAACCCCTCTGCTTAGGAGCAGCTCTATCCCAACACCAAAGGTAATTACCAACTTCTCCAGACCTGTGTAATTTCTGTTATGTTTTACATATCATATTTGGGACCTCAAATCTTGAGATCTTCTATTGTAATGAAATCAATAATGTATTATAAATATTTCAGAAAATTGCTCCATAAATAGTTGCACACAGTTGATGATGATGACAAAGGATTCTCCACAATCGTGTAAATAGTCATGCATTACACATTTTTAATTGTACGTCTGTGGAGGCAAAGAACAACCCCACACGCAACGAGCTGTGCATTTACCTTCTTATACCACGATTACGACACACTTGGATTACACGTTTGTACCAAAAGACAATTTTCAGATTTATGAGGCAAAAATACATGTATTAGTAGAACGACACTCTGCCAATGATTTAACATTTGAGATACGACCCAAGCCGCTGCCATTATTTAGAAAAACAATTTACTACTGTGAATGGCTCTACGTGTGGTTATGTAAATTAACTCCTCGATTCGAGAATTCAACATTGCCATGGTATGAGCAGTTATTAGCACCAAAAAATATACTTCATACACAAAAAACTGAAAACTTTGTTTTTCATTAAGAAATTATTCAACTTTAACTGCCAGAGTTTTATTTTTGCACTGCAGTGAATTTGCACCTATGGATCCCTCACTATGCCAAAGTGGCAAATGAAATGTTAACATAACTGTGTACTAGGTTAATAGAGGTTAATATACCACTTATCGATATCAGGGCAATGATGTAAAGCCAAAGCAAATGTTATCGCAGTGTGAGATCAGCCTATTTGCAAGTACAGTGAAGTGATTGGTTCAGAAGAAAAATCCAAGGAACTGCAACATATATGATATGATTTCAGGTCATGGAATCTCCAGAACAGAAGATGCCAATTACATCCAAATACAAATTATGTGGAAGAATCTGCAAAAAAAAGTGATGGCAATGAACCCCAATATGTGTCAGAACTGTGTTTGAAAACGGTTACCAAATTTTACATGGTTCCTGTTTTTTTTATTGAAAGGAAATGATACATAAAAAAAAAAAAAAACAAAAGCAAACAAATAATTGTAAAAACTAATTCTGAACTAAAAATGAACACAGCCAAAGTACCCAGTATTTCTAGAAATGTGAAATGGAAATAAAAGACCAAACTGATCTTTAATGGGATCAATGGGCACTGACAGGGTTATTTTTTCTGGATATATTAATATTAACAATGTGTACAGCCTGAGGCGACGATGAGGTAAGTTGAACGCCAGTCCTTGGAATGTCCTCTAGGCATCTGAGTCTATATCACTGTCCCCTCCAATGGACCTGAACTCCTCACTATCTTCCTCATCTTCACTAAGCTGGACCTGAGACAAGACACTGGGGCCGTGCCTCCTCGACGCATTCTCCTCTTCGTCATCATCATCTTCCTCATCCTCCTCCTCGCTCTGCCCAAACCCTTCTCGACTGCCCAGACCGCGGGATTGTCTCTGGTTCTGGCCCTCCACTTCCTCGTAGCTGCCATAGCTAAGAGAGGAAAGCAAGTGTGAAAGAGTGGATAATCCATCTACTAGTTTCCTCTTAAGGGGCCACCATAGACCATGCAGGCACTCAAACAATAAAATATTCAGAGACTCCAATCAACATGAACAGCAGACTCCACCAATACACAGAGGCATGTGACAACCGTGCCACCCATACATGTAATTTTAATTCACCCCCATGTACTTCTCAGTCTAAACTATATAACCACACAATTCCACATAAAATCGTAAACTAATTGTTTGGCTTGTTGGCCGTTCAGGTGTGGTGCTGCACTGACCTGACATTGCTGTCCTCAAGGTGAGCTTCATCGGCCCCCTCAACCTCACAGGACATCATGCTCTCATCCTGCTCCAAGCCCATGCGGGCCATCTCCTGATGACCCCTGGAGGGAGGAGCTCGCATCTCCACCTCTCGGTCTGAATCGCTCCCACTCTCTGAGAGATG